TGATATTTAAATATACTTGATTGATACATAAATTATTTTTTAATTCCATTATTCATTACAATCTGTCACAACTAAAAACATTCAGTAATTTTTATGTAAAATTTGAAATAAAGACCCTGAAGGGTAAGAGTTCTTAGTAACTCTCCCATTAAGTGTACGGAAGTTACTCTAAGTCTTGTGGGATTGTGCGCTTAAGCCTTCGTAATCCGGATTATTAATTAGAGTTGCTATATGATTAAGATGATCCTGTAGTCTAACCTTATGTTATGCAGCTGAATTTTTAATTTTTTCCTTTGGTAAGTATACCAAAATCCGTGTGGAAGATTTCGTTAGAAACAAGTCAGGTTGCATCTGCTATAGCTTGGAGGATTTTGGACTGAATACATAAATAATATTTATGTTGACATAGTAAATTTAAACGATGTTTAAGAGTATCAATTAAACATATATTTAAATATCATTTTTTTAAGTACGTAAAAATTATTAAGGGGGCATGTACCTTTCTCGACTCAAAAATAGTTCATTTTTTTTCTTTCAAGAAAGAAAAGGCGCATTAGGATCGAGTTTTTTTTATGTTAAAGAACATATTCTAGATTTATAAATCAAATTTTATTAAGGTAAAATAAGTCCCCCTTTATTCCTCTGCAGTTCCGAAGTTGGTCGTGTTCGACGGGATATAATCGCGGTAGTATGAATCGGTCCTTGGCCACTCATCTGAAATAAAAAATCCAAATAGCATCTTGAAGTTTATTAAATTTATTCGTATTTGATCCATACTTTTTTTAAATTTTGAATTTAAAACAAAATGACGGACGTTCCAACTCAAGGTATCATTTTTCACGTATTTCATTTCTTAAATGTGTAAAAAGAATACAAAAAATTAAGATATCAAAAAATTATAGATCAAATACTAGAGAATTTTATAAGCTTTCAGACAAAAAAAAAGAGAGGGAATTGGTTGAATAGTTATCGAGATATTTATGGTTATCGACTTTAAGTAATTACCTATTCCGGGGCCAATTACCATACAGGGAATCCTCTTGGAAAAGGTGCTGTCTTTTTGATTTTTATTTACGATTTGCACTTCTCGGCCAATTTTTTACTCGGCTCCGCCTTCTGCTACTCTTCTCACCTCATCACCCCTGGCATAGTCCAAATGCGATATCTCTCGACGCTTATAGGATCGCATAACGCTCGTCGACGTGAGGTCCATCCGTTTTAGGCTATGTGCTGTAAATTTCATTCTATCTTTTTTTTCGTACATTATATAACTAAGAATGAAGCTACGTGCTCGATCTTATACGAGCCAAAAATTGATCGAGAATCGTATTGAGGTATGTTAAAACATTTCATATGACATATTGCAGAATCCTTTCAAAATTGTTGCACCTGACATGTGAAAGGTTGAAACATTTCTGAAAATTTTAATTTTTCAATAACCAGTGCTGTATGGACTTACAGTTATTACTTATTTTATTAATTTTAGAAAAATTTTTGAATATATTTCGTTCATCTTTTCACACATTGGATGTATTCAATATATTTAAATTCAGTGAGAAACTAAAGAATAAAATCTATCATATTACAGAATTTTACAACAATTGCAAAATTGCTTTTTCTGGTGAGCCACTGTTAAATTTCTGAACTGATGTTTTTTATGCTATCCAATCACTTTCAAATTTTTTATAATATGTTTTACAGAATATATACGTAGATGTAAGAGGAAATGGCAATGTAAATGCCAACATCAGTTCTTCATGTAATTCAATGCATATATTAAAAATATGGTACAGACGTTTCGAGTATTGAATCTTCCTCAGTACATAAAATATATTGAAGTTTGATATTAAGCCATCAATGTTTTTTGACAGTATAAGCAATTTTTATAATACTTTTTACAATTTTGCAATAATTAATTTTTTCATAAGCAAAAATGAGTCTGAATAAAATCGGGTTCAAAACTGACACAGTACGTATTCCTATTTTTTTTTCTTTTACAGGAATTATCTGAATAAAGTACCAAGTGAATGTATATAAGATATTCTAGAATCTTTTCACTTCATTATAAAATATTTTCATTGAATTATGTGCATATTTACTCCCCTACTAAAAAAAATCATATCACAACATTATATTATGAAATCATGAAATTAAAACACGAAAATCACCAATTGTTTCAAATCAGTACGTGATTTTTTAAAATAACGTAATTTGAAAAATCACATGATATTAAAAATAATTTTATCCATTATATGATTTTATAGTTGCCAAATTTTAAAGAATTGAATGATAGAAATGGACGAAAAACAGAATATCATGTGACTTTTTAAATTACATAATTTTAAAGACTAACGTACTGATTTGAAATAATCTGTTGCATGATTTACATGTTTTAATTACATGATTTCATTATGCTACTCTGTGACGTGATTTTTTTCAGTAGAGATTACGCTGTTCTGCAAAATGCAAATATATAACGCGATAGTTTTTTTAACAGTTTTTTCATATATGCACTATTATTTTCAGCTCCAATAAAGCCATTTAACACTCTAAAGCAACATTATAAAGATTAAGTTAGCTCATGATTTGTTTTATAGACAGGTGTGGCAATTTACGCTGTACACTAATTTTAAATTTAAAATCGCATCATAAAAAAATTAAAAAAACAATATAAATAAAACTGATTTAGGAAATTACTAACATTAAAATGACGTAATATTATCAATAATACAGTACTATTATATAAACTAATAATTTAATAATTTAATTTGCAAAAGAAAATCGTAAAATTAAAAGTAATAAAAAAGGCTCTGTACTTATAAACAAAAGGTAGTATAAAAGAAGGGCAAAGGGTCAATAACGTATAAAAGAATTATAATTTAAACAGCTTATGGTTTGACGAAAATAAACAAACAAAACTATCCTCTGAGAATTATTGTCTCATCGTTAAATAGCCCACTATATAATTTGTCATTGTTTTTGCATAACATTATTACAGATTCTATATCAGAGATTCATAGTTTCATAAAAAACAGGTTTGACTTGATTAATAAACTTAAGAATATTTAGCTGGAATTAGATTCTCTTTCGATTTACTTGTGATATCCCTATTTACTAATCCACCTATAGATTTGGCATCTGATAGTGTGGTTGTAAGGTGGGATGCTATATCTAAGAAGACTAAAATTCCTTTGGACGAGTTTTTGATAGCCTTCGTATGATTCGACGGTTTTTATTTTTAATAAAAAAATATACATGCAGATATTTGGGACTCCCATTCGCCTTTGTCACCCGTTGTTGCAAATATTATGCAGGACTCTGAAAAAATGGCTATTGGAATGCTGCTTTGTCGATTGCTATTTTACTATCGATACGTTGATATTATCTTAGCCGCTCCTTCTGAGAGAGTTTATGATAGTTTGGATATTTTTAATTCGTTACATATTAGCAGTTCATCATGGAGATTGGCCTTGATGGAAAAATAAGTTTTTTAGATACGATGTTGATTATTGAAAAACGGAATCTCATTTTTGATACATACCGTAAAGCTTTTCCCGGCAGATTTCTTAATTTCCATTCACACCATTCACTTTGTCACAAAAGAAGTGTAATTTATGGAGTCATGAATAAGATTTTTTGTTTGTGTCATCCGAAATTCCAACAAAATAATTT